CCCCAAAACCCCAAAACCCCAAAACCCCAAAACCCCAAAACCCCAAAAGTCGTAAAATAAATTAAAATGGACGAAGTTTTAGAAATCCATCGTATCGCTAAGGAAAATTTGGAAAGCGGCAAAGTTGAGAGCAACATGGAATACGGTAAAGATCCTTGCTATCTCTACTAATTCACCGCCAAACGTCTTCATACTTCTTTAGCTGACCAGATTTACTCGAGTCAAAGAGTCAACGTTGATAAATAAAGTGAAGAAAATCTCTGATTACTTCGCATCGAAACGATTCAATGTAAACACAGTCGATCCCTCATTTAATCAGATGTTGGAGATTATCGATGCTGAAAAGAAGGTCGATGAAAAATAAGAAATTAATCGACGAAGCTGCAAGGCTTAAGTAAACTCTCTCACCAAACTTCATAGGTTTAAAATCGCTGTTAGGGAAAACCAAGAAGAAGCTGCTTATGACCCCCTGAACATCTACCTTGATGATAACCTAACTGACAAGGAAAAGGAGATCAAGAAGATGAAGAAATTAATAGGAAACCAGAAAGCTTTCTATCAATATAAGAAAAGAGGCTCTCTTATGAGAGATAAGGATTATTTAAAAATCCAAAATAGGATCAAACAACGCCAGATGCTTGAAACCATCAAGAAGAACCTCTCTCAAGGTAGACGAAGACACTTGGTTAGCTCTCTCATTGAGGAAGATAAAAAGGTCATTCACTCTCACCAATCTATGAATTTACAATTTGATAAGGACAACATCGGACTTTTTACAGATTTAAGGAGTACGAAACCTAGGTTTACCTTTAGGTATTGATAGGGAGAAGAAGTCTAAGGCAGAGAAAACTCCGAAAGTCAGAAATGTTTCAACATCTCTTTACCCCAGACCAGCTAGGACATCGAAATTGAAGGTTACGAATAGCTTAGTCAAGATCAAGGATGAGTCCAACGGTAAGAAATTAATTTCAAGAAATAGGGATCAGAGCGGTCTCTAGTTCTGGAGTGAAGACAATTTCTCCTGCCCTTTCCACTAACACGAGCAGGAAGAATTACGAAGGCAATTATATTAGTTTCGATAGCCATCTTTCTCGTAAGAAGACAGTGTGCGACTCTATTGCAGAGAGAATACCTCGGAAAGTACAAATTCTGGGATCAATTTTTAGAAAATTAAACAGATAAATATGCCAACTTTTGGTCAAAGGAAAAAGACCCATAACCACACTATGAGGAACTATCAAAAGAGCTCAATGGCTAATGCTCCAGGCATTAATAGTTTTGCGTATGGATATTGGTTTCATCCTTCTAGCAAACATAGGAACAGCATTAATGTGGCCTCTGACTTGAAACCGGAACATATAAAGTTTAAGTAGACCCACTTTCCAAGGGCGAAGGGAGAAGAAATGGGTTGCCAAAGAGAAGGTGCGCAGTTTTTAAAAAATTTAAACAAGTAATTAGAACTATAGTTCGTTCATGATTCGTCCAACTTTGATAGTATCTTCACGAAACAAAGGTCACCAAACAATCTCTCCCCCAAGAAGGTGAGATTCTCAAGTCAAGAAGAGCCGAATAGTGAACTTAAGCCTCTAGTCAGGAAATCTCCCTTGGTCCTACGTAAGCAGAAGTCAATCAAGAAAAGTAAAAAGTGTGTAAAACAAGTCAAGACTAAGATCAAGGACCTGATCGATAAGTGAAGGTTTGCGGAAGAAAATGATGAGTATAACCAATGTCAAAAATATGACTGTGATATATACCTTGAGGACCTCAAACATCAAGAACTCTCAGCTACTTTAGAGATAATGCAGAATATAGAATTTGCAGAAGCAGGTACTCTCTATAAGTTGTTTGAGCACCAATATAAGAACAAGCAGCAGGAGCTTAACAGAGCAATAGAAGTGAATAAGGAATACCGATCAGGGATCATGGATCCTTCCAGAGATGTAGCCCAGCATGAAAGACAGGCTGCTATTAAAAAGAAAATTATCGCACAGAAATCCTCCCTTGGTTAAGTAAATTTTGTAGATATTCAATAAGAATTTACTGAAAAGGGGTTTTGGGGTTTTGGGGTTTTGGGGTTTTGGGGTTTGGGGGTGTTGGG